ATCAATCAAATGAAGAATTGTTTTGAATAGATATAAAAATAGATGGATCAAGAAATTAGAATCTTAGAGGATATGAATTAGAAACTATTAAATAAAGAATACTTATCGTTTAAGTAAGAAATTAATACAATTAGACAATTTTACTCCAAGGAAAAAGAAAAATCAATATGTATTTTATTCCAATTATTTTAATAGAAAACCAAATAATAGAATTCAATTAAATTCTTAATACAATCAAAAATATAGTATCAGTTTAAACAACCATCAATAATCAAGTGAAAACTGTAGAAGAAAATAATATCAACAAGTAAGAAAATAAATAGAAATGCAATGAACAAAAGAACTTGAAAATGGAAAAAGCACAATGGTTATTTAATTATGGTAAAATACATTAAAAATAAAATAGCCAAAGAATTAACTGATAAAGGTAAATATCAAGAGGCTATAAATATATATAATAATTCAATCAAATTATTTGATTAACATGACGATGTTTATAGATGGAAAGGTAGTATTTTAGTATGTATAATAAGGTTTCGCATTACACAATTTAAATAAATATTAAGAAGCTATTGGGTGTTACGACAAAGCTATTTCTATAAATCCTAATAATGATAGTGCTTGGAACAATAAGGGTAATATAATTTAAAATACTTATATATAGGTTTCGCATTAAACAATTTAAATAAATATTAAGAAGCTATTGAGTGTTTGGACAAAGCTATTTCTATAAACCCTAAAAATGGTAATGCATTTTGTCATAAAGGTAAAATATATTTAAAATCAGGTTTCGCTCTACACAATTTAAAACAATACTCTAACGCATTAGTGTGCTATAATTAAGCTCTTTCAATTTCAATTGATCCTATTCGATTAAAACTCAAAGGTTTAATTCTTTATTAATTTAAGCTGATTCACTATTTTAATTAGGAATGAAATTAGAAGCTAAAGAGACTTATTTAGCTGCTTTGCAATAAGGATCAACAGAATAAGAATATATAAAGAAATAATTATAAAAGTTATGAATATTCATAAATATTACACATTACCGATATATAATGAGCATTATTAAGTTTACTTATGAAATGTCCATTTAAGATTATCTAATTTAGCTTAACCAAAATTACTCACAAAAATTAATCATCCATTCCATCTTCTTCAAAGTTTTTACTTCGATTAATTCTCCTTTTTACATTTAAAAATTCAAAGATATCATAAACCTTGAAAATATAGAAATATTTTTACAGCTATTTATATAACTCAATCTTTCTTTATCAATAATATTAATTATTTTTTCACAGCTGTTATTTCTCTTCTGAAATTACTTGAACTCTTGCATTATAATTTATTTACTAACTAAACACTATCTAAATTTATTGAAGAACTGCAAAGTTTTAAAAGAAATGAGTTTAATCTTTTAGATATATTAGAAAAATTGAAATTTAAGATTGAAGTTCATTTTCTAATTCTACCACTCCACCATTCAGCTAATAATTTTTTATCCATAAGACCAATTATTTATTTAACAGTATTTCTATATTGAATCTGGATATATTAAAATAGCAATGATTCCAAATTGCATGATATCCGTTCTTGATAAATGAGTATATTATTCGCATCACAAATTATTTCAAAGATTTTTAACACCTGTAAACTTTTATCTACACCTTCTTTGATTTTTTAGGTTCCATTGAAATTTTAAAGAACTCATCAGAGCAAATTTTAAACTAAATACAAATCTGTGATGTACTTTGCTTCAAAATCTGTCATACTTCTTTAGCTCCGATTATTGGATGTACTGTTGATCCTCAGCATTAAATAATAAGTTGAACAAATCCTCTTAAATATCTGTCTATCTATTGTATTTCTAAAATTCTTTAGTTATCAGCAAAATTGATACTCTTTAAATGTCAAAAAAATGTAACATTATTATTAGCTTAATGTTATTCATCCTTATCTAATTTATATATAATCTAAGTGAATTGAAAGTTTTTTTTATAAATTAAATTATGTTTTTCTTAAATAATTATTTTTTATTTTATTATCGTTTTAAATTTAAACTATTAGAAACTTCGAAGAGCTTACAAATTTTCATTACAAGTTTCTTTAGTCAATGTTGTTTGGATATTATTGATATATTTTAATATTTGATAAGAAATTATTTAAAAATAAGTTTATTTATAATTGAATGACTTAAAAATAGCAAAATATCTAATACATCCATCAGAATAACTCTCCTATTTACTTTTCTAATTCCAATAATTAAATATCTGATGAAACCCTTATTTTAGAATCCAAATAAACCTCCGAGTTAGTACATGTATTGACATCCTTCAAATCGAGTAGACTGTTAAATTCAGTCTTTAAATATTCTATTTCTTCTAATTTTTTATGGACGAAAATATATAAAGGATTATATTTTACATGATTTCAAATCCTAATACTCAACTTGCTATCTATTTTAATGGATTACTTTGCTGGAATTTAAAATTGATAGAAAGAATAACATTAAATGCTATATCAATAAATACAAAATGCTAGTTTAATAAGATTATACTTAAAGGAGTAACCTTTTAATGAAAGAATCCTATGATAACGCAATTTATAAATTATTAACTTCAAACAATTAAAAAAATTAAAAACGATAAAGAAATAAATTATAAAAATGGAAAATTGAATTTAATCAATTAAGGAATTAAATTTATACTTTATTTAGTGAATTTAAGAAACAATTACAATTACAAAGAAATTGAATATTTCCAAGATGTACAAGAAAATAATGGTTAAACTTAATCTTTAAAATCTTTATTGAAGTTTGCATACATAATAAATATTTTAAAGGGATAAATGCATTTAACAGATTTCTACTTTTGCCAGTAATAATCTAGGTTTCTTCATTTTTTATTAGCTAATGAAAATTCTTTAAATAAAAATTTGAAGTACTTTAACAATTATATACTGAGGTGAATATGAGTAAGAAATACTAATCAAAAAAGATAATAGATCAATATAATTGGATCAAATAAGGGAAACTTTGAAGGTAGGGAATCGCTGAAGCCCCATGAATAAATAGAGGATTAAAAAAATTTAGATCTTTAATGCATAGAACATAAGATCATTGGTGTATTAAACAGAATCAATCAAAAATAGAGCTAAAAGAGTTTGTAAATATGGGGGGTTTTACTCATGAGGATAAGGAATCTTCGTATCAATTTTTCAGTAATACTTCATTCAGAAAGTAAATGTACAATTTATCAATAAATAAATATAAAGTACTGAATAAATTAATATAACTTTATCTTATTTATGTTGGATTGACAATGCGATCCTCCATAGTAGTAAGACTGAATTGGAGTTTATAAATTATTAATGTAAAAGGAAAATAAAATGATATCAACTTATTAAGAGGCAGAATGCTGATAAAAACGAGTAATAGATAGTTCAAACAAAGATATAGCTCTTGAGAACTTAATGATATTCCAACATAGAATGCTAAAGGGAGCTTAGCTGAGAAAAAGCTGCAGAAATATTGAATCTGCCAATTTATTGTAGATAATTAGTTTATTTCAATTAATTGTAAAGAACTTTGGTTACTATACTAAAGGTTCTTTCTACAAGAATCTATAGAGTTGTGGATATTAGGAGATAAAAATGATTAAATAAATGATTACCTGGACCTAGTTGATTTTATGTTAAACAAAGATAATGAATTCTTAATCAACTTTTTATTTAAGACATAAGAAGGTTGATAAAAAATGATTTGAACAAACGACACTTTAATGGTTGAATGCATAATGGAACATATTTTAAAATTCAATTCAGAATTAAGCAAATAATATCAAAAGATAGCCTAGAAATAAGAGATAATGTAGTCAAAGAATTATTTGTAAGAAGTATATTATAAGTCAATAACTGATCATATTAAGATTATTATTAAACTAGACTGTCGAGATCTGGTTTCGACTTTTTCCTCAAACGTATTATACTAACCTAGACTCATCCCTAAATTTTTTCAGACCTAATCAAATCCTATGAATTAAACTTATAGGATTTCCTTTTGGTAAAAAAACACTAGCAATAACAGAAAATTTGATTTGAAAAGGTTTATAATCAACTAACTATCTACATGAATCTAATGCAATTAAAGATCGAGGTTCAATATAGATTCTTAGATTATTATGAAATGAAAGAATTTTATATTTTTAGTCATACCAACTGTCATTAATTGCCTTAATGATGAGCTGAATTTATATTATTAAATTTATGATATTTAACAATCTATAATATGAAATCAAGAAGATACTTTTAGATATTATATCTAGTTCCTGCATACCAATGCTATAAGCTGCATTTATTATAATTAAAGCCTAGTATATAAACTCATTTTTACTTCAAATATATGGGGATTGATTTTACATATAATTGCCAGAATACTAATTCCAGAGAGTGCATTCAAGATAAGTTGAGCAAAAAGGCTTATATAAAAGAAGTAGAAGCATTCTTCTAAAAAATTAGGATAATTATTAATTATTATTATAATTGATATGTTGAATTATTAACTTGTTTGAGAAGAGAGTCCCAGGCTCACGTCTCTCGTTGGTATCCTCAAATTCCGCTTCATATGGCATAGATGCATTATGGCATTCTTCCATGACTGAGAGAATCGACTATATTACAGGCAAAAATAATTTTGAAGCTCCGATGAAGAATCATATATCAATTGAACCTAGTTTAGAGTAAATATTTAGAAAATTCTCTTGTGCCAGGATTCTATCATTATCATCCTTGATTATCAATGACCATTTAAACCGCAATCTTAGTACTTGTTATAATCTTCTATCTGCATTCCTTTCTTTTTCTGTTTACACTCAATCTCTGCTTCTTTATTTAAACGTAGTTCTCTACCGTTTACTATTTTCTCATTTCCTCTATTGACATCATTCCTTTTAATAATCTGGTTACTTACTCATAATATTTCTATCATAGCTCCATCATTCTCTTACAAACCTAGATTACCTATATGTAAAGGAATAATCTATTCTTCAACAATCTCATCAACCTTGATAACTAATAAATTCCAAACAAGACTAGCTGAGATTTAATTATTGCTTCTTTAGTTAATAATGGGAACCTTAACACCCCATTTGCCTTTTTCATCCTTATCCTCCAATTTGTACTCTGCTATTCCTCAGAGATCTAACATCCTTCTTCTTCCTTTTCTTTTTTGTGTCGCGATTTAACTTCAATTTAACTAGGTCTAATGTCAGAGGTTACTATCACCAACCATGACATGCTATGAGGGTGTCCCCTTTCCCATCTTGTCTTTATTTACAATCCATCATTTATTTATTGGAAATTCTTACCAATCAAACCACAGTTTATTATTTTCATTAATGTACTTTCTGATTTTTTCTGGTATTTTCTTAAACCTGTAGTTGATAAAATACCTCAAAAATATTTTCATTATCCATTAGGTCACATTTGGATTTATAATTGTTGGGGCCCTTATCATCATATGTTCGGCACATCTTCCACCATCCACCTAATATTCATATCTTACATTAACTCTTCAATTATTTTATTTGATCCACATTTTACTTTGCCATCCATCCATCATGCCGTCATTATTTGGCCCATTCCTTTATCGATTCTTCATCTCATCCTTGCTCTCTTACCCAAGAATAATCTTCCATCATAACTTCTCCTTCTCCTTCTGCACTTCCTCAGCTATTTCTTTGCCTATCATTATAAACATTGGCCTAAATTTACGATGAAATTCTTTTCTAGAGCCTTACCGATTTGGTCCTGATGGATTAATCTAAGTTTTTCAATTTTTTTTTAATTCAGGCTTGCCAAAGTAATAGATTGCATATATCACCTTAGTGTAGGTATTACGCTTTGATTGAACTCTTCCGTAAACTATAAGAATTTACTCTCTTCCATACATTTCAGTTTAGCGATTTAATTAATTTAGTTGTATCATATTTCTCTATGTTTTGATGGATCCACCAACATACAAACTTCAAATTCACCTTAAATTTTGTACTCTAAACTATTAATTAAATCAACAATATATCATTTTCATTAATCTTCTTATGATATCCCCATTTTATTATTTGTTACATATTGTTTTTTTTTAATTTCTCTGTCTGATCAAATCCAATTCCTTATTTATCAAGTATTTAATTTGAACTTTCTTTTAAATTTTTTTNTCAAATTCCGCTTCATATGGCATAGATGCATTATGGCATTCTTCCATGACTGAGAGAATCGACTATATTACAGGCAAAAATAATTTTGAAGCTCCGATGAAGAATCATATATCAATTGAACCTAGTTTAGAGTAAATATTTAGAAAATTCTCTTGTGCCAGGATTCTATCATTATCATCCTTGATTATCAATGACCATTTAAACCGCAATCTTAGTACTTGTTATAATCTTCTATCTGCATTCCTTTCTTTTTCTGTTTACACTCAATCTCTGCTTCTTTATTTAAACGTAGTTCTCTACCGTTTACTATTTTCTCATTTCCTCTATTGACATCATTCCTTTTAATAATCTGGTTACTTACTCATAATATTTCTATCATAGCTCCATCATTCTCTTACAAACCTAGATTACCTATATGTAAAGGAATAATCTATTCTTCAACAATCTCATCAACCTTGATAACTAATAAATTCCAAACAAGACTAGCTGAGATTTAATTATTGCTTCTTTAGTTAATAATGGGAACCTTAACACCCCATTTGCCTTTTTCATCCTTATCCTCCAATTTGTACTCTGCTATTCCTCAGAGATCTAACATCCTTC